CCAAGTTTGATAATTCTTAGATCCTTTTCTTTCTTTTCTTCTACTATCACTGTCTCTCTTCTATTTTAATAAGAAACTTGTTTGGGCAAAGTGGATTAATGAGAAAAATAAAGGCTCAATTCGCAAGACAGATTTTAAAAATAAAGGCCTTTTTGCTAGAGAACCAAATATAGACCCCAGAAAAGAGAAAGAATATATAGTTGCACAAGAATCAAGAGAGCAAAGTAAAGAAAACTTCAATAAAAAACCTAAAGAGAAAGAGTCTGGCTATTTAAATAGTATAAACAAAGTAAAAGAGAGTAGTAACTCCAACATATTACTAACTCTGAAAAAAATACTAGAAAGACTAGACAAAATTAAGAAGAGCAAGAACCACAATCTAAAAGAAAGCAGTGTAAAGATAAAAAAAACAACCATTGAGAAGTTCTTGAGGAGAAAAGTCTTTCTAATTGCTCCTAAAAGTTGCCAAGAGTAAATTAAAATTACTGAGTACAAACCCTAAAATAAGAAGAGAGACAGTGATAGTAGAAGAAAAGAAAGAAAAGGATCTAAGAATTATCAAACTTGGAGTATATAATATTAATGGTCTAAAGATCAACAAAAATAAGGTAGAAATATTGATAAACTTTATAGCAGAGGAAATTTTTGATATTATGTGGATATATGAAACAAACATTACAGATAATAAAGGCGAGTGGCTTATTCAAAAGGTTGAAAAGTATATAGGGGTATGGTCTAATATAAAATGCAAGAAAAATAAGGGTTTTGGAGTAGGGTTTATTATTAACAAGAAATGGGCAAAATATATAGCCTCAGTAGACAAAAGCTCAGGATACTTAATTAAGCTAGTGTTATGATTCAAGAAAATAGATTATTTTATAATTTGCACATATACCCTATCTAATGACAAGGCAAAAAAAGAAAAATTAAGAAAAGAATAAAAGAATAAGTCCTGCAAGTTAAGAGAAAAGAAAAAAGAGTAATTATTCTGGGTGACTTCAACTCTGAAACAAAAAAGGACTTGGTAAAAAAAAGAAAATCAAAAAAAACATGCAAAGTGATTGGACAACTATTCGAGTTTCTTAAAGACAAAGGCTATACAGATCTGAGGCAAAGTACCAACATAGGTAGTTACAGTAGTATATAGCAAGGTAAAGGGGTAGAGACAAGAATAGATTACATCTAGATATCTAGAGAATGTAGAAAAAATATTATATATAGCGATCACTATATAATAGGTGCAACATTGCTATCAGATATAGATCTACATATAAGTAAAAGTGCTATATATAGAAAAGCAAGAACTAAAAGAATAGTGTTCAATATAAAAAACACTCCTGGGGAGAACTGGCAAGAATATAGTAAAATTCTAGACCAAATTCTAGTTAATAAGTAAACAAAGACCACAGGGCAATATAAAAATAGCACAGTAAGTATAGATATGAAATGAGACATTATTTATAATGTATTTAGAAAAGCCACAAAAAAGATCTTGCTTAAAAAAAAAGTTTAAAAAACATTAGTGCAAAAGCTACTAGACCAAGCATTACAAGCTTCAAGAAAAGAAGTCAAAGAGCTTAGCAAGCTCTATAAAAGATACAAACACAATATACTAAAGAAAATAGAAGCCCCAAACAAAGTGTTAATCAAGACCAAGATAAAAGAGATTGAAGAATATACAGGAGAAAAAGACCAAGTAGAGGTAACAACCTGGTCTGAAGAATTATATACATAGCTTACAATACAAAAAATACAAAAAAAGATAGCATACTGTATTTGGAACAACAAAAAAAAAACTATAGATAAGGCAGAAATTAAAAGAAAAATCAAAGAAAGAGAGAATATGCTAGTAATCGGCCCCAAGAGAATACTTAATAGTATATTAAACAAACACAGAAATAGTATTAAGCTTGATAAAGTACTAGAAAAGAAGAAAGGTGCATAGCACCTAGTAAATAAGGAAGAAAATATAAAGCAGATAATATACTTACTTATCTAACAATTTGGATATAATTTGCCTTACTAAAACCAAACTTGCCAATAGCAACCTTATCTTTAGATCTCTCAAAACCCAACACTATATATATTTTTAGTCATGTACTAATAGTTTCAAAGCTAGAACTGCTATTATAGTTTGCAACTCTCTAACTCCCTATATTTATAAAATAACTTCTATCTTTGGCTATGCTCTTTTAATTGATCTGTTTTTTAAACATGATTTCAAATTTTATATTATTTTAACTTATCTTTCCAATGACAATACTATCTTTTATCTTAATACTCAAAATACTATTATTCAATAGCTACAAGAAGCTCACATATTTAATCTACTTTCTATTATACTTGAAGACTTTAATATCTCTACTAACAATATCTACTCCATCTCTATTAAATATAAACTTCTTTAATATCTCTCATATAACAATATATATAATCTAGCTTCTTACTCTAACTCATCATCTTCTACCTGGTATAGCTTCAGATATAGTAGTAAAATTGTTTTTATCTAGGCTTATTACACTATTTTAATCTATATTACTTCTTTTAGCATTAATGATGCAAACAGTAGCTCTTTTAGTAATTACAAGATTCTTATTTCTTGTTGGTCTTTTCTCTATACTTAATATGGTTAATGCAAATATAAAACATATATATACAGAAGAGTCTTTAACTAGGGATGTGAATAGACAATGTCTAATCAAAAATATTATTGTCTAATCGTCTAATAGCTTGTTTGTCTAATGTCTAATAGTCTAATAATATTGTAATTTAGTTGTGATTAGACAATGTCTATTTGGATTAAACAATATGTCTAATTTGTCTATTGACTAAATTTGTCTATTGTCTATTTGTCTAATCGCTATATATTAAATTTATATTACATATATATTACAATTGCTGTTACATAGCAGATAGATTATATAATTGGCACATATAGATTAGTAAGCATGAATTTGATAAAATTTTGGTTCATTTATAAAAGTAATTATACCAAACGAGTAAAAAAAAATGAAAAGTCATACTGGTGAAAAAGCTAGACATCCTTTTACTTCTCATATTAATGTTATTCGAGTTCCAAACTCAAAAACAGTATTTGCAATTTGTAAATGGTGTAAACTAAAACATGGTGAAGCATACGCTATAGAAAATACTTAGTGTGTTAACAAAAAAGACAAACTTAGATCACATTTTCAAAATTGTATAAACTTTAAAGCAGCTATTGCCAAAAATGAATATGAAAAATTAATGCAAATAACTAAACCAAAAAAAAAAAATGGCTTCTAAATCAGCAGTATCAAATAGTTTACTTTTCGCTTCTAAATCTGATTTACAAGATAATATTTGTTTTTAAATATAGTAATAAAATTTATAATTTTAAAATAATTAATTTTTTTTTTTAAATTATAGATACAAATCAACAATTAATGCAACCATTTCTTGCACAAGAATATAGTTTAGTTGATAAATTTTATTACGAAAAAATCATTTTAAGTACAACAATTGAAAATGGATAGGCATTTAATTGGGTAGAAAAAAAATCATCAATTGCTATGCTTAAATATAAAAATCCAAACCTTGTAATACCAAGTCATCACACTCTTGGAGGTCATGTATTAAAAAATACTATACAAGAACTTCATTTAGAATTAGTATCAAAAGCAATTAATGATAATATTGGAGTATCGCTAGCATTCGATAGTTGGAAAAATATTTTAAAGCAGAATATATTTGGAACAGTACTTATTACATCTTCTAGAGAAGTATTAGTTTGAAATATTGAAGATATTAGTATAGAGCTTGAGCGAACTATTAATATAATATTCAAGGTTGAAAAATTACTTGAAGATTTAAAAGATCAACAAATTAAAGTTGCTGCAATAATTTCTGACTCTGCACCTGCTTATGCAGCTACAAGGTATTATATATATTATTATTGTATTAATTATAAATTAATAACTAATAATATATATTTTAGACACCATATGCATAGATCTCATTGTGAAATTATTTTCTCTCTTGTTTTGCCCATCAACTTAATTTAGTTGTAGGAGAAATCTTTAAAGAAAATACTCGATTTAATAATGCAATTAAAAAAGTTATTGAAATAACAAATTATTTTAATAATCCCAATAACTCTTATTTTATTGGTAAATTAAGAGATGAACAAAGAATGGCACACAAATGTTATATTGCATTAATTCGCCCAGATGAAACTTGCTGGAACAGCCATTATGAAGCACTTGGTAGCTTTTTACATTCAAAAGCATTACTAATTGTAAGAATTAAAATATAATATTTATAATTATAAAATTAAATTATTATTAAATATTTTTTATATTATAGTCTTTAGCTGCAAAATATGTATCGCCTGAAGATGATGATCTAACTTTGTCAGAAAATATTTGTGAACCAATTGGAGATAACAATTGGTGGAATACAATATCAGAATTACATATTTTACTCTCACCTTTATGTATTTGTTTAAATTAACTTCAAACAGACACAGCACGTCTTTATGAAGTATTACATATTTTTGGTTATCTTTACAATTTAATGGATAAATACTCTGATATTACTTTTGAAATAAAAATGATAGAACGTTTAGAACAATGCTGGAGAGAATGGGAGCAACCTTTTTTAATTCTTAGCTTTTTGCTTCATCCTGATATTCGTCTTACTCAATTTAAATTACCAATTAATGGTATTACATAT